GACGTCCTCAGGCAATTGGCTTCTCGTGGCGTTCCCACCAACACCATAGACGACTTTCACGCTTCAATCACGTGGCCATTTCGAGGGGGTAACCTACCGAAAGGATTTTTCAGCAACAGGCTCGGCAGTCAAAACAAACCTCTCAGATGTTTTCCCAGCGAGACTCTGGCAGCAGTGAAAGTATTGAGTGCGTTTTCGAGGGTAGATCGGCGCTGGCCAGCAGACATGATTGAGCAGAAGCGCTGTTTAGTACTATTAGAAACAATGTTGGATATGTTATGTTCGGGCGACACAGTGGCAGCTCACACAGACAAACTTTTTGATGCTACGCTCGCCCATCACAAACTCTACATTCGGCTGTACGTCCCGAGGATGGCAAAACCAAAGATGCATTTGATTTTCCATGCAATTTGGTCGATCGCCCGTCTGAGGAGAAGTTTAAACTGTTTCAGCTTGGAAGCCCATCACAAATCGTTGAAGGCTGCCGGCAGTCACGCTCGCGGGAATTGTTTCGAATCGTCCTGTTTGCAACGCGTTCTCGGCGCAACTGTTGCGCTTATAGATAGATACGCCTTTGAAAGTTCTGCCCTGCGGGGCGCCTGTTCCAGCATGCCATCTCTTCGTTGCGCACTGTTGGTCCTGGACCCTGGAGCTGGACACGACGTGCAGGTGTCAGCCGTGGCAGACACACCCATCGGAACACGTTTAAAGGCTGGCGATTGCATTCAATTAGGTGGTAGTGATAACACATTTACCTTCGGCATTATAGATTGCATCGGCTCCGTCACGTCGATGACGAAGCCAACTCTTGCATTTTTCGTTGTTTTCAAAGAGCTCCAACGAATTGACGCGCGTGGAGTTTGGGCACTCAACGGACGCACGTCCTTGGCACGATTGTCAGATGCAGTTGCTGCGCTGCCATTTTTGCCTGCACCTGGGGGCATTTGCCTCGTGCACTCGCAGTGCCCTTGGTTGTCAGTTTGAAGAAACTGATTGGATCGCACAGGAAAAAATATGTCCTGCCTCCTCCTCCCGAGGAGGAGGAGGAGGAGGAGGACGAGGAGGAGCAAATGAAGGACATGGTGAGGAGGAGGAGAGGAGGAGGAGGAGGAGGAGGAGGAGGAGGAGGAGGAGGAGGAGGACCTCCTCCTCCTCCTCCTCTCCTCCTCCTCCTCGGGTGGCTCGCCCCCGCAAGCCCAGAGGTTCACGTGGAGAGGCTCGCCTCTGCCCTCGGCTCGCCGCGCGCGTCATCCTATTGTTGCCTCGTCGTTTCATTTCTCCCACTCCTGCTGCTCATGCTGCTGCTTCTACACCCCCCTGCCCCCTCCTTCAACGCCCCGTCATTATCGCAATCATCGGCATCATTATCAGATCAATCTTCATATTATCATCGCACATTGCTGTCTCAATGCCACCGCTGCCACCGCAGCCATTTCATTTCTCGAGGAATGGCAGGTCGCGAGGTCACTTCGCAGCGCGCGCCGGGCGCGCCGCCCGACGGCAAGATCGGGCCCATTCCTATTGGGAGCGGAACTCTCACTAAAGCAGACCAAGATGAGATCTATGCGAAGACTGGATGCTGGGCTAGAACTCGCGACCGCGGCCGTGGTCGAATGTTGACAGTCACAGGCCCTGTGACGTCGCTCCGCCAAGCGCACGACGACGCCATGGCGGTCATTGCCAAGCATGGCGTTTCTGGCGGACGAAGGCCTCGAGCGGAGCAAGACGCCCTGCGCGCTCAGCAGCGCGAGGAAGCAGCCTGGCGCCACTCGCACTTCGCCCGCCACGAGCCGCCTGGGTTGCAGCCGGCGGGATGGTCAGCAACCGACTCGTCGATCTGGCAACCCGTTTTCCAGAGCACTGACTCATGGGGCTGGTGCGACTGGAGTGGCTGGAGCGCTGGCCAGCATGACTGGGGCGCAGCGGCTGCGGGAGAGCAGACCTGGCTAGGCGAAGGGCAATCGGAGCAAGACCCTTGGGCCGCTTGGGGCACCGAGCCAGCCTCGGCATCGGCTGAGGCAAGCTCAAGCTCGGAGTGGGCCCCGTCCAGACTCCTTGGGCCTGCAGGGTTTTTGGCGCCACAGATCGCTGAGGAGCCCGCGGAGAATATCGCCACTGAGGACGCCCGCAACGAGGATATGATCAAGGTGCAGCCGATGTTTCACACCGACGCCAGCAGGCAGCGTGAAGATCCAGCCGACGATGAGCTGCTTTCGCCTGCGTCTCTAATTGAATCCGATGACACATTGCCCACTTCGCACAGCGATCGCTGCGACGACGGCGGCGATAAAACCCCCGTTGATTCGCCGCTAGTAGCACCAGACTCGCAAACGAAAGCCTGGCCGCCTGGAGACTTGTCCGACATTTAGACGGGTCTCTGCGTCGCGATGCAAAAAAAATCGCTATCATCGTCATCTTCATCATTTCATTCAGGTGTAGATTTCGGAAGCCGAGGCTCGCCTCGTCGCGTGGCTCGCCACTGGGTGCGATCCCCCTTCCCCCCTCGTTCTCAAACTGGCGATCGACTTGGTTTTCACAGGAACCTCTTAGTTCAAGAAAAGCTTTTCGAGCTCCCGTCCTCCATCTGTTTCCCCTTGCCACCGCTGCCATTTCAGACTGTCAAGCGGGCTCGCCCAATTTTTGACAGATTGTCAAGCGGGCTCGCCCAATACTTGACTCATAGGTGCCAAGCGCCTTCATAAAGGATCGATGGCTGATGCTGCGGAACCTGCCGCCGCTGGGAGCGAGGAGGTTAAATTGGCCGTGTGTTCGTCGTGCGGCAGAGGCGACTTGCCCGCCTCCGCCATGCTCTCAGTGCAAGAGGCCGACCCCTTCACTGGGAAGAAAGCCCAGTTCCGCTGCAGCCCCTGTTCGGGGCTACGCCAGCGCCTGCTCCGCATTCAGAAGAGCACGACGATGCACGTCGCCGGGTGGGGCGACCTCAGCAAGGAGACCAAGACGGAGTTCATGGCAAATGCGAGGGGGCTCGCGGGAGATGAACTCGCCAGGAAGATGCAAGAGACGGTGGCGCAGGTCCAAATCAACCAGAAGTTCATGAAACGTTCTGCCAAGGGCAAGTTCAGGAACATTGCCGATGCCGCGAAGGACTATGTAGACAAACCCGAAGAGTGGAATAATATCCTTGCGAACGCGCCCCGCCAAATCCACGACTACAGCAAAGCCGAGCAGATCTGGATCCCAGAGTACGAGATGGAGGTCGGCGCTGGCGTTGAGGAAAGAGAAGAGAAATGCCGCAGGATAGGGGACTGGCCGACGGGGAACGCTCCGTACGCAAAGGCCAAGACCAAGGCGAAGGCGAAGGCGAAGGCGAAACAGAGAGCGCAGCCAGATGGCGCAGAGGCCGAAGAGGAGGAGGAGGAGGAAGCCAACGGTGACCAAGAGGCGGCGCCCCCTCAGCGACGCAAGAGGGAACGCAAAGAGCCACAACCACGCAAGGAGAAGCAGCCGGTGGACCTCACCGACGGCCAGAAGGAGCGCTTGGAGTCGGTCGACAGCAAGCTTGAGGTGGCCTCGATGGACCTCATCGCGGCGATCACGCAGGCGCAGCCGTTCCCAGATATCGTCCCGACAGCCCTGACATCTAAGGCCGAGAGCCTTGCGAAGACGATGGAGAACGCCATCGAGAAGGGCAAGTCGTTCAGCCAGGTCGGCAAGGCAATGCCAGGTGAGGTCGCGGCTTTCTTGAAAACGATCAAGCCCATGATCGACGATGCGTCCAGCCTGTCCAATCAGATGACGGAGCTGCTCGATCAGCTCGCCGACAATGTCGACTGACGGTGTTAGCGGGGAAGGCGGTAGCTTCGATAGCTCAGCATGGTGGCGTGCGGTGCTGCGTATGCATCTAGTTGCGGAATCAGGGGACGCCGTTTTTACTAGTGGCAGTTTGGGGAAGCACGCACGTTCTTTGTGATCGGCGCTATAGCGCACCATGCGATTTTCACAGTTTGCAGCATTGCAGCGTTCACCAGCTCTCGTGCACGAATGGCTCGCCACAGCTTCGCGTGAAAAAAATCATCAAGCATCTCATCCTCCTCATCCTTCTCCCCCTCCTCCTGCTTCTCTTCCCCCTCCTCCTCCTCCTCCTCCTCCTACATGTTCTTAACGCAGTAGAACATGTTGGCGTCAGGGGCACCAGTAATGATGAGCTGCATGGAGTGCAGGAGTGATCAATCCCACAAAGTGGGATTGACTTTCGCTTCGCATAGACTCTATTAACTTTATTGTTGTTGCATTGGCTTTTCACCCAGCTTGCCTGCGTGAGTCGTCGTCATCGCCGAACCTCGCCGAACCTTTCCCTTCCTTCCTTCTCTTCCTCCTCCTCCTCCTCCTCCTCCTCCTCTTCTCCTCCTCACCCTGTCCTTCATTGCTTCTCCTCCTCCTCCTCCTCCTCCTCCTCTTCCTTCTCTCGCGCTGCTCCTGATCTGCCACGTCGTCATCATCGTCGCCAACATCAGTTTAACTTCCTCGGTCCCACCCCAAAGAGATCTTGACAGAGGCTCGCCTCTGGGAGTGGCTCGCCACACGACCGCAACAGAATCACTACAGAATCGTTGGAGAATCACTGTAGAATCACTGTAGAATCACAAGGCGTTCCAGAATCACGATAGAATCACAGTAGAATCATGATAGAATCACTTGAATAACCACGTGAGAGGATCACTGTAGAATCACGGTAGAATCACTGTAGAATCACAAGGCGTTCCAGAATCACGATAGAATCACCATAGAATCATGATAGAATCATTTGGGAGAATCACTGGAGAATCACTGTAGAATCACTGTAGAATCACAGTAGAATCACTGTAGAATCACTCGAGGGAAGTGTGCCCAGACCTCCCCTCATCATCATCATCATCATCCTTCGTCGAGCTCGTCGTCGGCGTCGTCCTCATCATCGTTCGAATTTCGGGCTCAGCGTTTTCCTAGGTTGGCTCGCCACCCGACAAGGAGATATAGTAACACTGAGACCTGCGTTTCCCATGGCGGACCTGCTCCTCAACACTGTGAAGAGCGCTGTTGACTTCCTGGAAACCTACAAGGTGACCGAGGGGATCACTTTGGGGCAGGTCGAAGCTCAAGCCGCAGAACAGAAAGCCCAGCTCGAAAAGTCAATCGCAGAGGCCGACTCCATCTCGCCCGCAGTTGGCAAAGATATCTTAAAGGTGATCCAAGGGACCTCGTTCGCATCATTGGCACGACTGATCGCTGGGAAAGTTTCGGTGACGACGAAGACTTCCTCGAAAAAAACCAACGAGAAAAAACAGCAGAACCTCTTCCTCCAGAGATACATGACGCTGGACATGTGGAAAAAGTACCGCGACCCCGATACCCCCTACGCTACCGTTCTCGAGATGATGCTTGACCTCTGGGAGAAGATCGGGCTGAAGCACCCCTCCGAGCACACTGAGGTGCACGCCGTGGCAATCATGACGCTGCGTCTGGACGGGGGCGTCCAAGGGCAGGTCGTTGGGGGGGGGGGGCACAACCTACACACCTCTCGGATCCTCGGGCCCGCTCTGCCCCCTTCCCCAAGCCAGAAAAACGTATTCCAGGAGAGCACAAGGTTGCAAGTTTTTTTCGTCCCGAACCGAAACCTTCCTGGGTGTCCTCTTCATCTTCGGGTCCGTCCTCCTTCCCGGCTCCTCTTCCTCCTCCTCTCACTCCTCTTTCTCCTCCTCCTCCTCCTCCTCCTCCTCCTCCTCCTCCTCTTCCTCCTCCTTATCCTCTTCCTTCTCCTCCTCCTCCTCCTCTTCCTCCACCTCCTCCTTCTCCTCCTCTCAATCGGCGCATCAACTCAAGATGTCCGAACCTCCTCCTCCACCTCCGCCTCCCCATCCTCCTCCTCCGCCTCCTCCTTTCCTTGTCCTGTCCCTTTTCCTTGTCCTCCGCCTCCTTCTCCTCCGCCTTCTCCTCCTCTCCACCTCCCTTCCTCCCCCCCTCCTCCCCCTCCTCCCCCTCCTCCCCCGCCTCCTCCTCCTCCTTCTCCACCTTCTACCCCTCTTGATTTTTTCTGCCCTCCGAGGTCAACGTGAACGTGGCGGACGCATTCGCCAAGCTCAAAGATATCAAGGATGGCATCAAGGAGAGGCGCAAACACCGGCTCGACCATGCCCATTCGGGCGTGGTGAAGAAGTACGCAGCGACCCTGGTTGAGTTCAAGCGAGTTCACGAGGACATCTACGACTTCGCCTACGGGGACACAGAGGGCGACCAGCCAGTGAATAACGTGCCAATCGATGAGATTGCCATCGACGCCTTGCGCGCGAAGCTGCCAGCAAGGAAGAGCCATGGGTCCATCGCGCTGAGGGTCGGCAAAGTGAAGTGCTCGGGCTTGACCGTCGAAGGCGTGGCGAACGCTGTCCTCGCCGCTATTCAGCATCGGCAGCCTGTGAGTGGCGACGGCGTTCCAGGTCTCCAGATCTTCAACCCGAAGCACAAGCTGATGGTCGACAGCGGCCTGCAGCTGGCGCTTAGCGGGCCCGCCAGCAGTGGGGCCGCGCCGTCGATGCCCGCGATCTGTGACAGCCCGGCTTCCGTCCAGGTCAACCTTTCCAGCCCAGAGAGCGCGAGGACGGAGCCGTCGCCCGCGCCGGCGGAGGCGGTGCAGCCCAAGACCACTGCGGACTTGGCCGCGACGATGCTTGAGTTCACATCGAAGAAGAGCGGCGGCACGGTGATGAAGCGCCCCGCGGCTGCTGCGAAGGCGGCGCCCGAAGCCAAGAAGAGCCGTTCCGATGAGGAGGAACCTGAAGAGGAGGAGGAGGCCTCGGAGGAGGACGAGGAGATGGACGAGACGGACGAGGAGGAGGAGGCCGCGCCGGTGAGGAAGCGGCCAGCGGCGATTGGGATCAAATTGCCTTTCCGTGGGATCCCGAGCTCGCGGAGGGAGCCGCAGGTGGTGGGTGACTTCAAGATCTACACCGACATGGCGAAATCGGCGTGGAGGGTGCAGAGGAAGGGCGCGCTGAAGGATCGTTCATTCTCTTTCAACGGCGGGTCTGACGGCGGGAAAGCATCCTGGTTGAGAATGGTGCAGGCCATCGTCACGGACGACATCCCTACTGAGTGAGGGGCGCGGGATGCGAAGGCGCAAAACTCTCAACGACGCAGGCTGTGAGCAACGACGCAGGCTGGGGTGGCCTGCGTGCGCTAGGCAAGCCAAGCCCTACTATAGCACGTAGTGGGCCGATTGCAGCGACAAAGAAGCGAGCAGCGCGTAATGCAGCAACAAAAATCATCTCCGTCATCCTCCTCCTCCTCCTCCTCCTCCTCCTCCTCCTCCTCCTCCTGCTCCTGCTCCTGCTCCCCCTGCCCCCTCCTCCTCTCCCCGCACGTCCCCATCCCCCTCTTCCTCCTCCTCCACCTCCTCCCCCTCCTCCTCCTCCTCCTCCTCCTCTTCCTCCTCCTCTTCCTCCTCCTCCTCCTCCTCCTCCTCCTCCTCCTCCTCCTCTCCTCCTCCTCCTCCTCCTCCCCCTCCTCCTCCGACTCCTCCTCCTCCTTCCTCCTCTTCCTCCTCCTCCTCCTCCTCCTCCTCCTCATCCCTCCTCCTCCTCCTCCTCCTCCTCCTCTCCTCCTCCTCCTCCTCCTCCTCCTCCTCCAGCTCCTCCGCACCCTCATGAACCCTCCGCCTCCGCCTCCTCCTGAACCCTCCTCCTCCTCCTCCTCCTCCTCTTCCTCCCCCCCCTCCTCCTCTTCACCTCCTCTTGCTGATCATCATCCTTGTTCCCCACGCCCGCTCGCAGGAGGCTCGCCTCTGCATGAGGCTCGCAGGAGGCTCGCCCCTGCAGGAGGCTCGTAGGAGGCTCGCCTCTGCATGAGGCTCGCAGGAGGCTCGCCCCTGCAGGAGGCCCGTGGGACGCACGCCTCTGCATGAGGCTCGCAAGAGGCTCGCCCCTGCAGGAGGCTCGCAGGAGGCTCGCCTCTGCATGTGGGATGCCAGCGTGAGATGATTACTTCCCACATACCCCGACCTCCCCCTACTACTACTACTACTACTACTACTACTACTACTACTACTACTACTACTACTACTACTACTACTACTACTACTACTACTACTACTACTACTATCCCCCCTGCCTGGGACTCAGGGCTGGGAAATTCTAAGATCGAGGACATGGATGTTTGTTTGTCGGAGTGAGGGGTGTGGGGGGAGGGGGGACTTCAGAAACCTCTCTTCGGGATCATCTGTGGAAGCTTATTTTGAAAATTCGGCGAGCCTCATCTCGGGGGGAAGTGAGTGGGCGGGGTTGACCCCACCCTGAGCCTCGCCATCTCGAGATAAGGGCGGGGACGAGGGCGGGAGGGACAAGTGGAGAAGGAGGGGGGTGAGTTTTTTCTTGTGAAAGAAATAATCACGCGTTCGTGTGATCACGTAGCATGCTCAAGAGAAGCACTCGCAATTTTCTTCGTGCATGATGAAACTCACCATGCTCGTCACGTGGGCGATGCTCGCCTCCACGTGTGCCGGCGTGGGTTCCCGACCTGGTAGTTCGGTTGCGCAATTAGAGCGCATCGTACAAAGCGTACCATCGCTTCCAGACTGGCGTTCGCACTTTCCAGAAATTGGTTCCTTGACGCGTCGTTTAGAGATCGCAGCTCCATGCACTGGAATACATGGTTGCGGATACGCCATGCAGGCGATGGGAGTACCCTCGAACACAGTTCATATCTATGATTTAGAACCTGGGTACGCCGAGGTGCTGGGACATCACTTGAGGAGCATGGGCATGACAAATTTTGTGTTGCATCTGGGCGAAACCGCTGGGGATCTTATGCGCGTTCCGCTTTCATCCTTACGGGGCCGAGTTGATTTTCTAGTGGCTGGGCCACCGTGCCCTCCCTGGTCGGCCCAGGGGAGGCGCGGTGGGCAGGGCGACAGACGGTCGAATGTTTTCGTTCGAGTGTTGCAGTGGATCATATACTTCGCCAAAGGTTGTGGGCTCTTGGGCTTCGCCTTAGAGAACGTGATGGGCATTATGCATAATCAGAATGGGCGCGTCAACTACATGAGCAGAATACTAGACGCCCTTCGGACCACCCTGCCCGAGTTCGACTTCCCAATCTGACGGTTCCACGCCAGACCCCTACATCTTACGTTGTCCAAAGCGGGTGTCGCCCAAGCCAACGCCCTCGCCTCGGAGGGTGTGCGGATTTCGCGTGGACGTTCTGGATGCAACCCAATATCTTCTACCACAAACAAGGAAACGCATTTTCCTGCGTGGGCTTAGGAAATGTTTATGCGTTTCCGTGCCGCCACCCCTCGCACTTTTCGGTAGCAGAGGATTGAAGTCAGCGCTCGCTCTCCTTCCAAATACCCATCGGTCGGTGCTTTCTGCGCCGATGAAGGCGAATCTACTATCGTATGAAAAGATTATTGAAGAAATGTACCTCGATGGCAAATTAAATCGCTCGGACATCGCCGTTGTGCCAGTGGACCGAGGCCCCGACAGAGTCCACAAACAGACAGGGCATCTCACAATCAACAACGCGCCAACGCTTACAACTCGCAACGCGTACTTGTGGATTTTGTCGGTTGGATGTGTAATAGACCACAAGCCAGATGAAGATAGAGACTTTTTTCGGAGGATGGAGGCGTGCGAACGTTTAGCCCTACAAGGTTTCCCGCCGAGCTTGGCTTTGTGGATGACTGGAGACGTTTCGTTGAAAGCAGCGGGTAATGCGTACGCTGTGCCTGTTGTAATCGCGGCACTTTGCCCCTTGATACAAGTTCTTAAGACTGCCATATCCAACGGTTTCGATTTGCAAGCGTGGCCCTCTGACTTATCGCATCGCGTGCCCGACGAATGCAACGTTCTTGCCCGGGCGCTCTCTGCGCGGCCCAAGCTTGCCCCAAAGAGCAAGGCTCGGGGTTGCAAACGCGCCCGCCCTTCCACTGCGTGAGGACCTCTCCCCCGATGGAAAACGCCAGGTTGGCTCGCCACCCTACAGGCATCGGGGTTGGCTCGCCACCCTGCACGACTCTCTCGGCATCGCGGGTTGGCTCGCCACCCTACAGGCTCGCCTGCATCAGCGGTGCACTTGAGATGGCTTGGTTGGAGGGTTGGGGGGAGAGAGGAAGGAGGGGAAGGAGGGAAAAAGAGAGTGAGGAAAAGGAAACCAACTGGAAACTGGCGGCGGGAGAAAGGGGGGAGAGGACACCGAAGACAACGACGACGACGATGGGCAAGCGACGACGATGCTATCAAGGACGAAAAATAAGGGGGTTCACGGGGATGAAAGAGGAAGGAGACAGATGAGGAGGATGCTGCGAACTGGCTCAACAAACGTCTGCAACGTGCGGTCTAGACCTACTGAATACACCTGAACCCTAATGTTTCCTATCTTTTCATAACTTTTCATAACTTTTCATATCGTTTCACAACTCTTCCTATAATTCTGTAAATTTCCCCAAATAAATATAACACGGGTTGCACCAAGTAGCCTGTACATTGAATTGTCGGCTTATAAACATAGTCGCAACAGCCCCAAACTGTCGCAAAAATGTTATATGTCGCTGCGCAACTTATAAATTGTTTCCGAAGGTTTGCAGGTTTATAAGTGCTACTTGCCTATGTTATAAACAGGGTTCACCATCCTATAAGTACCACTTATAAGTCAGCCACCGAAGCCGCCACTCAAGTGGGGCGGAGCTCCAAGGACCCGGGGCGACGCTCCTCCGTGTCACCGGAGGGGGCGGAGGCGCGGTCCGCGCCCTGACGCCCCAAGAGGTTTGGCGAGCGCAGGGAGGGACCAACGACGAGTGGACCCACCTGCGAGCCCAGGGCTTCACCGAGGACGAACTCCTGAAGGGCGCAGCCAGGGCGCTCCCGCCGAGGACCGCGGAGGCAGTGCTGACCGCGGTGACAGAGGCGCTCAACAGCACCAGCACGCAGCGGGCCGGGGTGTGCCATGATCCAGAGGAGCAAGCTGCGTGGGAGGCCACCAAGCGCTGGTTCCGCGCCTGGGCCCAGGCACCGGATCAGCCCGCCCTGGCGCTGGCAGCAGAGGACGAGGTCAGGGCCGGAGGAGCGCTCGCCGACGAGATGCACAAGAACCGCCGGCGCGCCCAGGCAGTCCGCTTCAAGATGATCGACGAGGACGCGCTCACCGGACCCCGCGAGGCCCCAGCCGCCGAGAAGGTCAAGCTGGACAAAAGTGTGACACGCTCGAAAAGCCCTCGCAAAAAGAGCCCTCGGCGTGCCAAAGAGATGCCAGCAACCAACCTGGTGAGGCCGCAAGCGCTGGGCGTAGCTCGGAAGACCAACTACCCCGGGAAGGAGCTCGCCCCCGCCGGCCGCGCTGAGCCTGGCGGAGCCAACTACGCCGGCTGGTTCGCGCAGCAGAAGATGGAGGCCATGCTGCAGAAACTCAGTGAAGGCACAAGGGCAGGTGACGAGGGAGGATGGCGGCTCTGGGTGGCCGTGCGCCAGGCGCAAGGGCTCAGCCCTTGGCTCCCAGGACGTGACCGCGAGGAGCGCCTGGCCGACGAGGAGGCGCTCATCAACTTCGCCGTCCTCCTAGCGCGGGTCGTCGGGAGGACCGAGGGGACCATCAAGCAGAAGCTCTTCGCGGTGCGCTACGCCCACCTGGTGGCCGGCTACTCGGACCCCCTGCTCCACAGAGGCCGCCTCTGGAGCACGCTGGCAGGGCTGAAACGCTGGCAGGGGCCCGAGACCAAGCGGAAGAAGCCCGTCACGCCAGCCATGCTCGAATGGCTCCGCGGCTTTCTCCAGCAGGAGGCCGAGCTCCCCGAGGAGGATGCAGTGGTCATCTGGGCGGCCATCGTGACAGCGTTTTTCTTCCTCCTGAGGGCCTCAGAGTACCTCCTCCAGGACGGGCGCTCGTGGTCCTTCGAGCGCGTGCTGCACGGGGAGGACGTGGAGCCCAAGAAGGAGGGGAAGCGTGTGGCCAGCTTCCAGGACGCCGACGAGATGGTGATCTACATCAAGGGCAGCAAGACGGACCAGCTCAATGTCGGGACGGTGAGGAACCACTACCGCGCCGGCACATCGCTCTGCCCGATCGCGGCGATGGAGCGGCTCCAGGCTCACCATCCTCAGCGGATAA